CCCCCCCCCCCCCCCCCCCGCCCCCCCCCCCCCCCCCCCCCCTCCCCCTGCCGCTGCTGCTGCTGCGGCTCATTCCCCCCCGCTCCCGTCTCGTGTGACCGAGAGCCGCCCGGAGCTGCCTGGGCGGGGGGAGCAGGGGTGGAGCAGGTCATTAAATGCTTCTCCCGAGTGCCTGGATGAACCCCAGAGACCAAGGGCCGGAGAGGAGACCAGCTCCAGCCCCTCTTGGGCCCCCCGGGCTTTCCGGCGAGGCCCGGCTCCCGGCCGGGGAAGGGTGCCCGGGGCAGCTGCCTCTCGGCGCGGAGGGGGGAGAGCCTTCGCGCCTCCATAAATCGCGTGAGAAACGGCTACGAGCTCTGATAAGGGCTCTTGGCAGCTCCTCAGGCTGCGTGCGTTTTCCTTGGCCCAAGCTGCGTGAGCAGCAGGGGGAGGAATTGAAAGAAAGTTCAGTCTCGAAAAAAAACAAACATAGAGGCTTTTTTCACACTTCGAAATACCCCAGCAGCCTTCTCCCTCTCTTTCTGCCAACAAATAGAGTCCGTTTGTGTGAAAAAGCAGCCATTAAATAATGGATATTAGACATACCAAGATAAGTGCTTTCTAGACATTTTCAGGTCTGTGGATAACATAGCTCGCACCTTAAAAAACGTTTAACAGCTTTTGCAGCTTATAAGCCAAATTCTGGTACACAATGTGGATTATATGCAAATAAAATTTATCAATACTAAGATATATATCTCCGTACAGTAGAAATAAGAGCAACCTTCATGATCGAAAAGCTGAAAGCAATTTTCTTGTTCATTAGCCCGTTACAAGATTCACAAATGTTATCCCATAGAAAATACAATGTTCTGGAGTATTGGGTAGATGGGAAAAAGCTCTACAAACATATATACATCACATATGTGCGTGTGTATATTAGCACACACGCTTGTCTTTTGAGTTCTCTGTTTTCTTTTGCCTGGTGTATCAGGTTTAAACTTTTTGCTTGTGCTTTCAAGGCCCTGAAGTACTCTGACTCAGACTTCATCTCGAGACATCATTAATGTCTGTTGTCCTTTTTCCTTGCTTCACAGCAACAGTGTGCCTATTTTGCCCCAACTCTTATCCCAGCTGCCTGTTTCCTACTAGGCTGCCTTCATCTATGGAATTCCCTTTTTTTGTGTTACCTAGAAGAAACAAATTATATCGCTCCGAACACCAGCAGACTGTTACAGAACCATTAAGGTAACTATGTTACCTAATTGAGTAAATTGAGTAACACAAGATCTTGTTATTATAACCTTTGTCCTTAAAAATGTGAACTAATATAATCCAGCTGCTAAACTGGATAGCAGCCATTTAGTTTTCCTGAAGATCATGATTCAGAGCACTTCATACAAGCAGTCAGAGCTGGCCTTTGGGATTAGTGACTTGTTTGAGTATCATACCTGTGTTTCTGGGAGGGTTCCAGATTGCTTTGGAGCTGTGAAATTTGTGCCACCTAAACTGCCATGCCTAATGACCTCTTTCCCAACCAGCTGAGCCAGCTTCCCTAATTTGTTGAGAGACAAGTACAGTGCCAGGTCAAAGGCACATCATGAGAATGGTATTACCACACAGGGACCTAACAATAGCATTACAAAGGAGTCTTTCACCCTCAACCCAACCCTGAAAAACCCCTCTCCCCCCGCTCCAACCTTTGGCCAAGTCATGATCAACATCTGTCATGGTCTTTATTTCCACAGCGTATTAGTATTTTTTTAAAAGTGCTATGCAAAGGAAAACCCCTCTGCGTTTCCAAACAGCTGTAGTTGGAATGACCTTTGGCCACTGTTTTCTAAATTGTTGGTAACTTGGCACGAACGTCAAGAACAATCTGGACTCTTCAGAGATGCTGGAATGTCTTAAAGATCTGAGTGCACACACTGTTTCTGTAAAACAAATCTTATAAGTCTGTGTCCCAAAGATCAGCTCAGTTGAATATAATCCTGGGTATCATTGGTTGAAATCGTGTAAATGTATGGTGATAAGCTAACCTAGGGTTTCTAGCTCTGATTTTGTTAGCTGAATGGACTCTTTCCATTATTCCATTCAAGAATCTAAACGACGCGTCTTGCAAGATGGCAAAAAAAGGCTCCACATCGGTAGCCATAACCTTGGCAAAACATATTTGAAATTCGAGTCAGTGTTCCTAGCTAGAACAGTATGTGCCAATCCTCCAAATCCAGGAGGAAGCAGTAGAAGGATGGCTCTGTGATTTACCCCTGGAGCCAGCAGACATTGCTTGGCTGTAAGGGATGTGTGTGCGCTGCTCCTTCAAACCAACTCACTACAGGTACTCTTAAGAACTTTGCTGCAACATAGTCCTTTGTCACCCCAGGTTGGTAATATGACCAACTGCATAAAAGACAAAATGTTGCCCATAGGAAAAAGCTCTCTGTAGACATTTACCTTGTTAGAAATCCAGAGTTAGCATCTCAGTCTTCTTGCTGAAACTTGGGGGGGCAGTTATGAAATATTTTTTCTCCATGATTCATAAATTGACAGTTTTTGAACCTTGCCTTCAATTTTCATGAAAGCTTTCATAGAAGCATGAGGACTTCCACTTTTTAATGTTTCAGTTGTCTACCATCTATCCTTAAGAAAAAACAGTACCCGAATTCATATAAAAAGCTGGAAGAGCTGTCACAACGGGCAGGAACATACTATAAAGGATCCATCTTCCTAAGTGGCCAGCTTACGGAAGACTGAGTATATGCTTTGGGTACGTTATTCTGTGTGTGAGAAAAGCTGATATGCTCATTTAAGGAAATGTGAGATAGTTAAAAATGATGTTACATTCTACAATGGTAGAGTCAAACCAAATCATATCACATTTATGATTTTTTTCACTGAAAAGTGCAGTAACACTTGCCCTAGGGGTTTGTTATCCAATATGCTAGCTAAATTCAAAAATATCACAAACAACTATTGTCTGAAATCACAGGCATGAAAAGATAGTAAGTGACTCCATGAATGTTTGATTTGGGTGCTTTGAGAGACAAGTAATTCCATATAGGTAATCTGCACTTCCTGTTCAAAGTTAAGAAATAACAATAATACTAAATAATGTCTTAGATGCTGAAGCTGTTCAGATTAAATCTTTCACACACATCCCCTGCTAACAGTGCAATGCCAAATGCATACTAACGTTTGCATGGCATTTGCGTGCAGAATGTGATTTCATTTACTGTTTTCTAGTAGACCTTTTGGTTAGCAATACAATGTCTTTTTTGCTTTCTTTTTTCGGCTGTGGTGCTTCCTCTTCCATTTCCCTCCATTTACTTACATTTATTCTTTTCCACAGCCCATGGCTTATGTTCCACTGTTCCGCATAGACCACAGTGGCATCAACGCGTGAAGAGACTCCAGGTGGTTTTAATCTGTTTTTGAAAAGGAGACAGGAATATGATCTCTCTCAGTCATATGTCACCCTGTTCATCCAAAAATAGTTTTTCAAAAAGCAACCCATGCCTCATTTTTGTTACCATCTCTTCATACTCTGCAAGGTGCTATTCAAGTTGCTATGAAAACTAAATAAACAATGTCACACCTGTGGATAGATTATCAGGCAATGCATATAGGAAGGCATCCAGATGCAGTTACGCAGCATGTGTAGTTTGGTATGCAGTTTAGTGCGTTTCCCCAGCTTCTACTGAGAGGAATGGGGAGAAAACAAAGCTAGAGAAATACCCCAAAATGTCGAGCTTTGCATGGGGTAATTAAAAGACAGATTTCAGGTCACATACTTAATGCTGTGTGACCAAACCTTCCTTAACAAGAAACTTAAGTTTTCAGAAAGTATAAGAGAGTTTTCAATGTCCGAGAGTTTTTTTCATAACGTGATTTCTGTATGATCTCTCTGTATGCCCTAAGTTAGAAAGGCAGCAATTACGGCATAAGAAGATGAGGTTATGCAGCTATGCTTTATTTCAGATATTATACCTAGCTGTGTATACAAAATAATTCAAGACAGAGAGACTGGCTGCCAGAAATGTCAAACTAACTTAGAGGGCAAGAAACTGAATGAACAACAGGCTCAGAGGTTTGCCAAAATGCATTTTTACAGCGCAACATCATATCAGCTCATGCTAGGTCAGTGGCTACATTATTTTGCTCATCCAGGACAACAGCAGTACATGCACAAAAATGTCATGTACTTGGGGAGAATAAGAGAGCACAGGATACATCAAAGCAGGGTATAAGAAAATAGTCATGAAAAATCTATTACCAGAGCTCATACTAAACGAGTTGTTTAAGATGTCAAGACTTCCATTGCGAGATTCGGAGGAAGACACTAAAACAAACAGCCCAGTGGTTGTCTGTCTTTTCAAAAACAGCAGGTAGGATAGGAGAGAGCATAATGTGTTTTTTGAAAATATGAGAAATAGCAATTGAAGTTAGTAGTATTGTCAGAATAGAAATGGAAGTTAATGCCTTAGCAGTATATGAGAATAAAAAGGCTTGGTTTAGTAGCTTAAGGAGGATCACAAAGCGAAGACGAGATCACCTTGCTTTATAAAGTCAAAAAGGGAAGTCACTAGAGACATTCAAGAAGGGAGCGAGAAACATTGCAATTTCCTGATTTGTAAGAATATCTAGAAAGTATGCAGTTTTTGTGAAAAGATTTGT